AGGCTTTGAAATGACCCAATCACTTCCATTTTGCGACCTCTCTTCAACTTACAAATCACATGGCTGTAGATTTTTTTTAAAAAAAAAAAGGCAAGGAAAAAAAAAGGCTATATAGCAGTAGTGAAATGAGGGTTTGCTAGATCCCTTGAGACGTGGGCACATCGTCCAAGGCAAGGATTGCAAACTGAACATTCCAGGTGGCAGAGACACTGCCAGTGAAATTAGAGTTCCAAATCATCAGAGCCAGGGAGAACTGGCCAGTGCTTCCCGCTCCCAGGAATGTTGTGATGTTCAGTTTCAGATGGTCTTCATGATGCACCCAATGGCTCCTCTCTGATGGCACCCCTGAGGCAATTCTTCTCCAAGGACTTCAGGACCACTGAATCTTGCCTACTGCCCATCTGCAGACCAGGGTCCTACAAATACTTCAGCATCCCAGACACCAAGAGTTTCTCACCGTGTGACCATTGGATCCATTTGTTCCCAGCTCAGTGAGCTAGACAGTTAAATTAGGCACAAATTCTCCATAGTTCACTATGTCAAGTGAGCTGTGGGACTCCCAATTGCCTGGGGAGCACACAGCTGGTAACGGTACTCCAGCCATTACGTGTGGCTGATCTACTGGAGTGCAGATCCCAGAAGAAGTGGTCCCCACTCACAATCTTTTCCTTGGAATAATCAATGGGAAGCGTTGCTCAACATAAAGCAGTCAGATCTAATTGACATGTGCTGGAGGCTGATAAAGCAACAGAGCTCTACAGATGACAAGCCTCAATTTATTCTCAGGCACCGAATTAACAGATGTACAGACTCAAAGGCCAAAAATCTCATTTTCCACTAAAGTCCCTGTTAGTTCCTACAATGGATGGGGAAAGCACTAAAAATAATAATTACAGCATAATTCAGAACAGCAGTCATCAGAATATAATCCTTTTTTTGACTCCCTCTTGGTGGTTTGGGGTTTTTTTAGTGTTGTGGCTTGGCATTATTAGCAACAGAAATTCGTTATGATCTTATGTAAACAGAGTGGCTTTTTTTTTTTTTTTAAAAAAAAAAGAGGGAGAGGGGGGAGAGCGCTTCTGTCCCGCCTGGCTCTCAGGCATCACTAGGTGGAAGCATTGCAC